CTGGTTACATTTCTAGAAAGTTCACAACTCACTAATTAAATGTCCAATAAATATAATTAATCAGTTGATGCATGAAACGCAAATGTACTAATAGTTAACACAATAACGTATGTCTGTATCTACAATTGTTCTTGGTAACTGGAAACTACTGAATATTTTATTTCAGTAGTTGAGATCATGAGTCAACTGAAGCTAGACCACCATTAAAAACCTGGAAGCACTGGACGGCCATTTCGTTCTATTGTGGGACTCCTCAACAGTGATCATCCACCACTCCACCTCTCGGGAATCAAACCCCGGTCTCAAAATAAAATTAATTGATTTTTTTCCTTATAATAAACCGAATTCAATAACTTCGCTTTACATTAGAAATGAATCGGTACTATTTGGTTAAAAGGAATCGATATATGTGATGACGAATATCATTATAAGGAAAAAATTGATCCAAAATGATCATAAATAGATCTATTTTAAAAAAAGGAATTTTAAAGCATAAAATAATGCTCTCAATGAGATGTAATGAAATTACAATAAACCATTTCTAAAGTTTTTATATGTCATAAAATAGTGAGTGCCTCACACTGCTAAAGTTAAAGGGGCTTCAATTGCACAAAGTGTTTTAAAAAGTACAAGTAACCTAATTTTCTCATTTGCTTATAGTTGATTGTTTGAATACATTTCTATCATTCAGGTTGTAGGAATTTTGGATACTGTATGATTCTTTTAAATCATATTTTTGTATGACGTATCTAAATACAAACGGTATCACCAATTGCAGCAAACTTCATAGGATTTGAAACATTTAAATACTACACTAGATATGACTAACACATCTTCATCAGGCTATTTATTACATCTTGAATATGATATACATTTTTATATTCAAATTGTATTGCATATTTTAAATTCATCCGAATAAATCTTATTCGTTTTTCATGTTAAGAGTGTTGCTAGTATGTATTGATAGATATCCATTTCTTTGTAGATTTTGTGCTTTTTTCTAGATATAGTATGTCCGATTTAATAGTGAAAACTATTCATATTGGCTAATAAAGTATCAAAAAGACTTGACCATAACAATTGTTCTTATCTATCTTACACAATAGATGAATTCGTTAGGAACCTAGTATTGTTCAGATACGGAAAATCTTAAATACCATTATAAAATTGTATTATTTGTTAAAAGCAATTATTGAATAAAAAGAAACCAATTTATATGAATTATGGAATCATTACGAGGAACAGGCTAGCTGAATAATAATTTACATGAAGAGAGAAGCTTGTTCGTATTTCTGATAAATAATAATTGAAGTCGTCATTATTCATGTATATCTTAATTTACAAGCATAATTTATGAGATTCAAGCGATTCAACATTAATCTGATTGCATATCTTCTCAGTTAGCTCATTCAATTTTTGGATTTAAAAAGCGATCTTGTTAACTGAATTATTAGTTTATGCAAGTAAGGGTTGTGTAAACCAAGATAAGTTAATCCAAACCTAGACAATTCACTGTGCTAAAAATATGAGTGTATATAGCCGAAACAACCTTATGAGGTATTAAAAGCGAATGGTTGCACAACAATTATTCATTTAGACATAATCTAAATGCGGCATCTACTGTGAGTTGTATGATAATCTACCACTGATTCAATAACAAAAAGCGAAATTATTTTGTAATGACTAATGAATTTAAATGGTTCAAATAATTTGTTCTTTTATATTTTTCTCTATCAGTGTGAAACACAAGCAAACGGATAGTTAAAACTTAATGATAAAATTCGTACATTTTCATGGAGTAGGTGATGAATTTATTTTTTTTTGAAGTGTTTGCCAAAAAAGACGGTTCAGCGAAAAACTTTCTTCTCCGACAACTTGACTTACTTGAGCTGTACAATTGTATCCATGAATAAATTTTCACAAAATTTCGGTGACCTATGTAGCATTTGAGCGGCTTTTTGTCACAGACTCTCTAGCTGTCTATGAAATATCATCTTCACTTAATTTAGCAAGAAAACAGGTATTTTATATCGCCATGACTAAAGCTGTCTTTAATTTTTATGAACAAATGATTAGGTTCAAAGCTATCATATGAATATAAATTTTTTAAAGTTTAACATCTGTGCCACTAGATCAAGAGCACCACAGGAGTTCTTAATCTTTGACCGGTAATATTTGGTAGTTATTCTGTGACTATATTCAAGCATTCTGATTACGCGGTAAATCATATTTGAGTTATAACAATCAATTACATGCAATTTCACTTGCTATTTTGATTGAAAATACTTTTATCACTTGAATCAAAAACAAACAAGAATAATCGCTGAATTTTGTATGCTACAGATACGTATTTATCAAACACTTTACAGCCATTGAACATAGATTTGATGTGTGGCATATGTGCTCCAAAAAATAACAGACGCACTAGAACCAGAGTACATTCAACTGTTTTAACAGTCCCGTACGTATGTACGCAATAATATATATCCTTGATTGTTGATATCATGCTCAAATATAAAACATGAAATAGAAAACGTGACTAACCGAAAAATATATTAGTAAAGAATATTAGAAACACTATCATTTCGATTAGACGTTTTAAGTGGAACGCCGATTAAGGGATGTTTTCGCTATCTTATTAAGCATTGTAAATTGTTCTATTATACGTGCTATTTACTCGTAATGATAATTATATTGCGCGTACGTAACAAACAATTTGTTTGACTTCATCTGCATTGACTTCTAAAAATACTTCAGTGGAAATATTTAAAAAATATAAGAGAGAAGATTAAAGCATGAACAAAATATCAACTGACCACAAACTCACGAACACATATGTGACTTTTGAATGAGTTTGACGTCCAATAATACGGAATGTAGTATGATATAACAAAAGTGTGAACAGAATGTTTCATGAGAACTAATGCACAATGAACTTACTAACCATTGAGTCCATTTAAGTCAGTGTCTACTAAATTTTATTATTTCTATATTCTGTTTCACTATCAATCGTTGAATTATGTCATATTTCAGCTCAATGCATTTCAAGCATTCTGATCACATATATGTTGATTTGTCAAAGCATCCATTTCTGAAAAATTGAAAGTCAACTATCAAAATTGGAAGTCAATATGAAACAAGGTGATAAGGAAAGCCATGTTGAAGACACGACGATCAATAAAAGTCAACAGGCCCATTAAAGACCAAGGAGGTAGATTTAGTCCATGTAGTGGTAAATATATCCTCTTTTAAACACTTCTGCAGCATCGATAGTATTCTCATTAGTTTTAATTACCACACTCTGAACCTAAGCATTTCACTCAAGCATGTGCACAGTGCAACATATTACCGAAATAACTGTATATCACCAACGTAGCTGATCTATATAGAAATGATTAGAGGCCTAATCGAGTTAGATGGGAATGATGTGACGAATCAGCTAAATTCAAAGCCACACCTCGTGGCCAGCACCTTACGTGAATTACCCCATTGACGTATCATGGTACCGCAGATGCTTTGAAGACTGTACAACACAGAGGACGTTATTACAGAAATATATTAATTAAAGTAGACGCAAGCGTAGGTAAGACCACTATCGCACGGGCCAGTCCATGGCGTACGATTAACCGTATGCGCGTTGGCTGTCCTCGCTCTTGATGAGGATCGATGATTTGTTCGGTATTCAATGAAACAACTGCAGGGTGATTTGGCTAGGGCTCGGTGGAATTTCACTGTCCCTATATAACGCTCTTCAAAATGCATTGGTAAAAAAATTACACATAATGGAAAACTTCCAACTTGACTTTTTATCCACTTCACAAACTCAATAGCTTCAAATAGCAGATCTCTTTCATTCACCGATTCATTTAAGATTAAAGAAACGATGCTCTGATATTGTACTAAGAAGCATGTCATACACTTTTAGGATGATATTCTCATTGATCTAGATTCATCAAACCATCTTTCAAAACAAAGAAGGAGCCAATCACAGTGGATATTATCCAGTGTTCTACACCCATGACAACGACAATGACAAACATCAATCTTACGGGAGGTCGCAATCAATTGTAGAGAAATGTCGAGAAAATAGCCCGACACCCCTGATGAGATAGTTAAACGTCAAATAATTAGACCTTACTCAACGAAAAGTTTCGACTAAAACTGAACGCCGTAATTTGTCAATCAATATGAAATAAATTTTGGTGATGTTCTTATTTGAAAAAAGCCTCCAAAATTGAAAAAATCTTCAAACACTTGCCTCGCCCATTAGATAGTGAGGCACGGTCCACGAGAACATGCCCCTGATATTCTAGTGAAAGTATTTACTTCCAAGTGAAAGATTTTTTGTCCAGGAGAAATCGGTTCTCAACTTATACGATTTTGTGAGTCGGATTTCTTCGGGCCATCGAAGTTGCTAGCCTCTGATAGATTCCCAAACTAGCTTGAAGGAATGTTATACTTTGATGGTGTGTATATAGAGGTATGTTAGAGAGAATCTAGAACGTTTAAGATGTAAGTAGACGGTTAGGCAATCGTATAAGATACTCTTATCTTAAGGTATGAAAGCGGTTGATAACAGCAAGCAATAACGCACGCTTAATATTAAGGCCAACTGAAAATCGAAAATGGTAGGCAACATGATTTCAGGTAGATTTTGTGACTCCGTATAACGATCAAATATCCACACAGTGTTTGTTGGAAATTTATTAGACTGATGTCAGACAAGATGAAAGTCTAATAAACTTCAAATTCGAATAAGCCATTATGCAACGCAAGTCCAGATAAAACATACTTATTGTAAACCTCGTAAATAACATCTGCTTACATTACAACAAGCTAAAACAAAATGTTAAACTTAAACAATTTTTAAGCATAAACGCAGCAAACTGATAAGCATGAACAGTGACAAGCTCAACGTATGTGTGTTGTTGTTTTGAAAGGCTAAACGAATAATACTTCAAGGTTGTTAGCGGGACGTCTCGAAACGTTGCGCACTTTAAATGGCTGATGAGAAGCCACGAAGAAAACTAATTTTACATTTTGATGCCAGGAATACTTTGTTTCTGTCAGATAAAAGTTATCGTTTCACTATTGAAGAGGCACTGAACAGTTACATTTCTGGAATTGTATGGGGTAAGCAAAATGGTAATGAGTTTTTACCCGATATTTCTCAAACCTCAGTTTGCTGACTTTTTGAGAGTTCAAAGAATTTTTAGAAATATTTTGGGAAACAAACGCCATAAACCTCAAGACATCTATCATTGACATACAAGAAGAATAGCACTGGCCCCAAAACTGTGCTCTTGGTGCAGTCCACTAATCACAGTTTCCCAGCTAGATAACTTTGAGTTCACCCGAACTCTTTGTTGGCACACAACTAGGAAGTCTTTTATCCACATCAATAAATTGCCTTTAATCCCGACATTTCTTAACTTATATAACAGCCGGTTGTGTGGAACCTTGTCAAGAGCTTTGCTGAAATCAATGAAGGCTACGTCTACAGGTAACTTTTGGTCCTTAAGAGAGCACCAGCTTTCACGAGCCACTAATAAGTTAGTGAGACAAGAGTAATCTATTCTGAAATCGTGCTGCTTCTCCGAAAGGATCCAACTTTTATCGAAATACTTAAACAGCTCCTTCCGAATAATCTTTTCTAAGATTTTAACAACCACACTAGTTAGGCTAACGGGGCGGTAATTCTCAGGTTTGTGTTTCGTACCTGCTTTGAAGACAGGACTTACTATGGGGTTTTTCCAGTCCTTGGGTAAACGATCCTGAGTTACGGATAGGCTAAAGCATATACTTAAAGGGTTCGCAACGAAGTTGGATAATTCCTTCAGTAGCCTAGGATGTAATTCATCGGGCCCTATGGATTTACCTATGTCAAACTTATTTAGTAGACCAAAGACATCGACTTCTTTAATGGTCACGCTATCCAGTGTATGTGTGTTGGGATCTGTATGCGCTGATGGTAAGGGTGCTTCTATGGTATATAAATTGCTAAAGTAGTTTGAGAGCACTTGAGCCTTACCAAAGTCGTCCTCCACTAGTGACGCGGCAGTACTGTCTCCCCATAGAGCAGGAATGTTTCCTCTTCTTTATATTTTGTTAACCCTATCTAGTCACTCATTTTACGGATCTCTTGACTTTAACGTCACCCACATGTAACAAAACTGAAAGGTGTTCTATCTTTTGTACACCGATTACTCAGACTAAAGCCAGTTTCTTGTTTCTTATTTATAGACTGAATTAGTTGTAGCGTCCTTCCATTTTTTCGGTTTTGATTGCCAATCGTCTGTTGATCGTATCGTTTTCAATGACTATATTCTTTGGGTAACCTGATTTAATATCATTCACAAGAACATAGGTACATCCGCTTTTTGTCCAGCGCTAGAAACTGAGTTCCGAAATAATCTTAAACGTTTTCGTTTCTATGCTGATATTGTTATCAACTCTGTTACTATGAGAATAATCTCGATAACTTTATCCTGCTGTGATAACGTTCACTGAGTACGAGAAGAGGTGCACATATGTGTCAGGTTTTAAGTTACATATAACTAATTAAATATATCCTCCAGATTTCGAATAGTTTGGAAATAAATCTCATCAAGACCTTTGAAGCATCAGTAGCTTGTTTTTTAAGAGGAGTGTCTTGTGAAACGCCATTCGATATTTATCCCTAACTTTGCTGTTTAGTGTTTATTCTCTCCCATTTATTTGCCTGTTTAAGAAATTTACTGGTACTTAATATGCTAGCTTTACACGGTTGGCCATACAAAACTGTAGCTTAAAGCCAGTAATAAAGGGTTATATATAGGATCACTATCATCAATAACAAATTCTACGAAACCTATGCATTCTCTCATATGTATTGTATCAAGTATATCATTTAATTATGTCTGTAAACACAGTATGCTATGTATATATGAGACCAGAATAACTTGAGGCTTTCGTTTAAATATAAAAGAATTAAAAGTCAAACAGTCAATTTACTTCTAGTCTAAATAACCAAATCAATTTAATAACTAATAAAAAATACAACCTAAAAAGTCAGGTTTAGGTGATATAAAAAATTATTGTATCAATGATATCACAACCGTGTCTACGTCGAATCGACAAATAAACTGGTCTATTAAAAAACCAAAAGACAATTATACGATGGGGTGTTTGAAAATCTTAGGCATCAAAAAGGACAGCGTAATGTATGATGAGTTAGAAAATGATAAGATAAAGCTCAAACGTATGGTAAATGACTGTCTACTTGATGAGTATGGAAAAGGCGAAGAATTTATTTGACAGCATGCGGGGGTGTTTATAACAGACGATTAAGGAATCTAGAAAAATACCGGAAAAAATACTAACAACTAATTTACAGAGTTTGAAAAATTATTTATTAGAGCCACTGTAGAATGGGATTTGAGGTGCAACATTTTGCAAACAAAATTATGACCTGAACGGATGGGTTTTTAACCTCTTTGCAGTGCATACGTTATCGAACCACGCTCCATTTAGATGATTTTTAAAGGTATGTCGTGACCGAAGATTAGATAATTTTTTAATATTGAACCACCAACCGTTCTTAACCATCCGTTTGAAAGCCACGCAAAACAATCCTCAAACATTTGTTTGAAAAGTGCTTGGTTTCTTTAGCCAATATAACCTGCTCCACAAGGTCGAATGAACTGATGTAAATTTTTCAACTCTTCGTGAGGCTAAAGTGGCTATAAGTAATCTAAAGTGATGGGGAGCAGAAGGACTTGACGGATTAACCTCTGAGATTTTAAAATGTGGTGGTCCAATTTTGGCAGTTAGATTAACTGAAATCTTAGCTAAAATTTGAGAACTGAACGAAGTCCCATCTTACTAGTCTCGACTGTTAATCGTCTCAGTCTTTAAGAAAGGACAAAAATCGCCCAGTAATAGTCACAAAAAGATAATTTAGTGTCTAACATGCTAACCTCACTAATACTTTGACGCCTATCTAGAACTCGTGAAGAGCAAACTTGGGTAAAAGAGTATGGTTTCAGACCTAGACGTGAACGTATAAACCCTTTGGCAGATTCTGAAACATAAACAAACTTTTCAACGCCTAACTATATTCATCCTCTTAGACCTCAAGGAGGCGTTCGACTCTGTTGATCCTAGAGTTCTGTGACAGTGTTTGTCGTCAAAAGGCGTAACAAAGAGGTGTACATTGATTTTGTATATTCTCTCTACTTGAACACTCATGGTTGAGTCGGAGCTTATAGAGAACTGTCACCTGAAATTGTTTACTTTAAGTCGCGTTTGTCAAAGTTGTCCGCTTTCTCTATTTCTATTTAACCTTGTCATACATATGGTTTTAGGAATAACACACTTATCATCTGAATTTTTGGAGTTGATCTTTTACCAGAAGATTCATCTATTCACTTCAGTAATGACTTGCGTCACCGCATGAATTAGTGATGGGGAGTGAAATAGCTGAAAGCATCGAGCCCTCCACTTATGGTCTGGTATCTGACAAAATCTTGGCACGACTTCGAAGGGCTCGACTGTCTTCTGCTAACTTACGTCACTTGTGACGTAGGCGAAGCATCCGTCTTTCAAACAAGGGGATAGTTTACTGCGCAGCACTTTGTTCCGTTCTATATTTTGGATGTGAAATAGGACCATTTAGAGTAGAGAATATCTTGGGTTACTGGTATTTAATCATAGATGTCTACGAACCATTGCTCACGTATTTTAGGACTATGGAGTAATCAACGTCGAGGTTAAGAATAAAGCACCAAATAAAGGTGGGAAATTGATTGGTGAGGTAGTAAGTCTTCATCAATTGGGGTGTTGGGGACATCGCCTACCTCCACAGGCGATGTCTTCACGTGTGGGATTAGACTGAAAGAAAGATAGGGGCGGCCAAATCAAAACATGGCCTCAGTCCATGAAGTCGTTGGCAATCGGGCTTAGCCATGTAAACAGGTATTGACTACCTGGTTGAGGTCTGTACGATCATCGTAACCAATGGTTAGGGACTTTGAAACGGCTCATAATCGTTTGCAATGGCTCACGTGCATCTATTCTTTGTCTTGCCTCAGATTCTAAGCTCTTGAATCCCTCATAATTTTCGTCTTGTTTTTATTTCACCGATTTATATTTTCTCGAATTGTAACTTCGATGTCTAGTCTTTCCTAGTACCACCGACACTGCTACTACGTCTGCTATTCTGGTATGTAGCCCGAAAACTTCATTTCGGGTTCGGCAACTTGAGCCGATATACATACTTCCCAGGTTATACGATGATGCAAACATACCAATTCATTCGTTGATTTAAAGTAGAAACGATTAAATAGCTTAGTTGAATAATATCATTGACAAGAACGTTTTTTCGTTGAACGGTCTTTTATTCTAATTTAATGATATAACAAGTTACTTTCGTTGTGTGATATTTAAAAGGAAAGCATTTCAAAGAATGTACGAATTTCAAGAAAGTTCACATCTGAAATGACTATATCTCCATTCTTTCCCCCAAGTTTATATCTTAGTAGTAATACATTTTGCTTAATACTGTTCGAGCTATTTTTAGCCTTCTATGACTTGAAACTTTGGATTTGGTTTACTGTTATTTACTGAATACGTATAACTGAAGGTGTACAAAATAAGTCTATACTCTGTAAATAAGTATTATAATGACAGGCATTACACGTAATTAACACTTGTATAACCAGACCTAGAGACCTTAGATATTATTCATTTGTTTAATTCGAATGTTTGTTGTCAATTTAAATGTGATAAAGGGTTTCTTTTTAGCAAATTTTGAGTTACGATCTATTGACTTGAGTATGCTTAGTCATATATCAGTAGATTGTAGGGTATTTTGGGGAATTTATTGTAATTTTTAAGTTATATTCGCATAGATCGATCCCAGTTGAGGTATCGTTGAAAACTAATGGGCATGAAACAGCTGTCAAGTCATAGTATACAAATCCTGGATAGTGAGAACGTACGACTCAACGGGGAATTGACAAATGAAGAAGTTCCATACTAGTAAGGAAAAGCTCTGTAATGTCCCATGGTTTTCAATCGTATCAGACTAATATCGCGTATCACTTGTATTATAGACAGAAACATATGGTGTTGGATTCCATGTCTTGTGTCAC